AAAAGCACAACAGACAGGAAGTTATTATTTTAATGGTGGACTGGGAAGTTTTAAAAATGTTGTAGTTGCTTTCATCGTTAATGTGATGGGCACGAAAACTATTTTTTTCTGATAGAAACCGAGTGAAATGTAATGCGTTGCTTCGTAAATGATATCAGATAAAAGAAGATATTTTTGCTTTGCATTTTGTATTGTGTGATTGAAGCTTGAGGAATTTATAGCTTTTAATGAGCGGATGCTATGTCGGAGAAAAATAACCGAGCTAAGCTGGGTAGGTATGTTAATAAAATTACTTTTATAGTTCAAATATAACAGTATCAAAGCACATATCGAATTATAATTCCGGTATTTATAGAATTGTACTTGCATCAAGTTATGTACCGCTGTAATATATAATTCACACACAGTATTCGGATAAAGGGAGATTAATATTGTTTGATGCTAAAAGTTAATTATTAGTTGATAAATGGCAATACAGTCTCAAGTCACTCGGAGATCTTATTAATTTGACATATTATACGCAACGCCAAATAATTGGATTAATCAAAATGTCAGCTCTCATCATGTTGTCACCTAGAACCTTGAGTTGTGAAATGGGAGCTCGAAATTGTGTAACGATGGTATGACTTGTTACGTCGTATTATTTCTTGTAGTATTACCTATACTGTTTCTTATATGAAGATTCGATATCAAAGTATTTTGCCTGACCCTGATCAGTGAGAACAGGGCATTGTCGGCCCAGACGGGTCGATCATGTCCCTACAATTGTTCCAATACTTCGCCAGCCAAAAGAAAAAAAGCAATCATCTGGATCAAGAACCAATTTTGTCTTTCCAGAATCGTATCTTTTAAGATATTACGTACATAAATTATCGTTATATTAAATTGATATATTTGCAAAGTTTAAAGTAAGCAATAATTTTTAAAACTTTACCACTTAGACGTTCCCAAAAATTGTTCCTTTTTTCTTCAGGTATTAAATACATAATTCATCCCCCCTAATACGAAACTTTAATAGAGTTTGTATATCTTTTCCAAGGATGATCTGGGAAATAAACATTTTTATTGGCATTACACGGAGTAACAGATATCAGTGTGGCGTCAAATATCACCGACCGCGATACAATAAACGTACCAATATTGCTCTGCGACAGAGCGGAGCAGATAAATCCTTGTAAACAAAATTGTGACTGTCACCGATATCGTACTTTATGATTGGATGCTGAAGGCAACATGAAATTCAAATCGTACAAAATTGACCGCACACCCTTTTCAAACGTCGTATACTTATGTATAATAATCCTAAAACACACCCTAAATCCTTTCAAGCCGTTGGACAATGACTTTGACGGCGTGCTATTATTATATTTTATTTTCCCTCACGACTCCTTATTATTTTTATACTTTTCTTTATACGAGGATATCGACAATAAAAACGAAATGTTTGTTGCTTGATTGAACCGCCGTGTGACATGTTTTTTTATTTCATGTCTACTGGTTTGAAGACACCAATCGTATCTTATACGATTGCAGCTGTTTGTTCCCCAACAAAAATGAGAATACAAATTGTTCTCTCGAAGTACCTGGTGTTTATTCGGTATTAATAAGTTATTGACTTGTGAAGATTTAGTTCAGTGTCTGAGTAAACTCTTGATTAAATAATATAGTAAGTTGTTGTTTTAAGTGCTTGGCTGTGGTTATTGGAACTGTTCTAGATGTTTCGTTCGATCGATCACTGCCTACTATTTTTGTTATGTTGTATGAGTAGTATATGCGTTCGACCTGATGCCCACGGAGGGCAACATTAACTCATCGATTTCGTTTAATGTTCCGTAGCACCACTATAAATAGCGATACCCAATTAAGTGTTAAATAATATTAATTTGTTACTAACTTAACGATTTAATTGTGAGTGCCTACATAAGTAAACATAAATTAATCTCTACCCACAATATGTCACAACACTGCGTCGTTGGTATCCTAAGTTAGAATGTAGAATTTGAATATTTACGTTAGTGAGATTTTCTTTGTAAGTCTTATAAACATGTTAAATATAATGTTATGTAGATCGGTAGGCCGGTAGCCGCAGTTTCACAACCCCAATTTACAACGATGGTCCGATAAGTAGGTAGGATAAATTGATGGCTTATTTTATAATAATAAAGCGCACGGTGCTGGTAAAATAAGCGCGGTTTACGGCTAATATAGCACAGAGTGTTCGTAGCGAGGAAGTTTGTTGCATTTTGCATAAAATCGATATACCATCATAGGGTCGGTCGTAACCACACAACCCTGAATTGTTTATATCATTGAAATACTTTACCTCGACCTTATTGCTGCTAAATTAGGTTTTTTGTAGGTCCTTGTTATGAAATGAATCAGCAATTCTTTTAAATCTCTCGACTTTTCATACAGGAGGTCGGTAAGTGTAACTTTATATTTGGAATACCTACATGTTCTGGTTTATTAAAAAAGGAGGTTTTATTTTTATAGAGATTTTCTTTAAAAATACCTATCTACTTTGAAAGTATCTTATATAATTTTTAAACCGAGTAAAATGTAATTAAATTGCGTGCCCATTTTTTAAATAAAGATGCGTACAATTTGTTGCTCCCCCCACCCTCAATAATTGTGACTGGCATGGTGCGGAAATTTCATCGGTTGCATTTAAAACACCAATGAAAGAACGTTCGAACTCCGACGTGTGTTCATGCAAACGAGCTGATTCCATCCGTACGTCATCCAACCAAGTTTTGAATGCGATGCAGCCACGAATTTTAAAACCGGTAAAGCTATATTCACGCTCGTCAGTGCTCGTGACTCTTGGCAGTAAGTGCATTAAAGTGTCTGTGCCCGGCCGCGCAGTGCCTAGTTGGCCAGGTACCGCTTCCGCCTCCATTATTTTATGCAAAATAAGCCCGAGTGGGAGAACTGTAATAATTCTGTAAACAATGCCGCTTTGTTGCTCGTCCACGTTTATGTTCGCGATGTCGTGGCGACACCACTGCCTTACTTCCATGTGAACAAAGAACTTGCTGTAAAGTATACAAATCCTTGAGAAAATATTTTCGAATTAATAAACAATAAAATGTATAATTTCTGTATTAAAATTGACTGTAGTTGTCTCTTGTAAAACTCACCTTTAATAACCTTTTGTTTTATAACCAAAAAAAAAATATTGCATAAAACAATCCAGTCTATTCTCAACTAAGTTGTAAATAGCAATTCATTTGTAACTATGTTCATTTGTTATCTTTCTGTAACATTTCAGAAAGTCTGGCTCGGTGTAGTGTAATTTCAGTGACAAATTATACTCAAAGGATTTAAGAAATTTCATTTATTTTGTAACTTTACATAAACAGCTAACTGCAACGGTCACTATACAAAGTTTTCAACGCTGAAATAGACCATTTCCAAGATATGTAGTCCTTAAATATTTATGATTATTCTACAGGTACAATAAATTAAAATTCCAATTCGCTCTTTGATTCTCTATAACAATTCTGGAAATGGCACAAACAACAATTAATGCATACTCTAGAAAGAAAATAACGCAAGCCTCGTACGTCGAAATATTACATAGCTATTTATTTATATTACAAAGCACGCCATATTGTCTTTATTGCAGAAGTGATGAGATTATGTACAAAACGTATTTAGGTAAACATTTGATGAGAAACGAATAAAATAACATTAAGTAGGTATATTAATTTAACATCGCGTATAACTTATAATATTTACAATTTGTATAAAGCTTTTATCCAAGGAACAAATTATCTTTGTATCTTATTGAAGCCTGTACTTGTATTTCTTTTTATAGTTATTGAAAATATTACTAACTAAAACAACATAACAACAAAGATTTCAAACAACTGTAGTTCTATTCGCTACATGCCAGTTTTTATTCGATTTCGCGAATATTCGAATATAGCGTTGTCATTCGATAGTTTCGAAAGTGAATTTTACTGAATAGCACTACAGATCGATAGAAACTAGATTACTAGACCAATTTGTAGATAGGGCAGGTAGGGAGAATCGATAACGTAATTACAATACATAATCAAAACTTAAGCTAGTATTTTACAATAGACTATACATGAAACAAACATATTTTCAAAACAATTTTTGTACAACAAATAGTAGAATAACCCAACATTTAAAGCTTCCTTATATCTTTTACTATTTTATAGGAGAGAAAGAGAAAAGAAAATACAAAGCAAGAATTGATTTTCTTTGTCCTGCACATTGTTGTGGCGAGGCGGTAGATCATGGAGAGGAACTATACAAAGATATAATTCTCTTTTATTCTATTTACTCTTTACAATGGGGGAAAATATGTTCATAACTTAATTCCAAGTTAACAGATGGTCATTTAACTGGCGAGTGAGTAATTGTAACGAGTGTTAATGGTATGATATTATCTTAATGCGAGCAAGTACGTGACACGGCCCCGGCAATGGCGATGTAGCGTGAGCCGTGCCGTACATCGTACAAAGGTGTACTCTAAGTATTTAAACCGATTATCTACACGGTGTAAATTGAACACACTATTGAAGTTTGAGGACATTTTACTACTGACTTTGTAAACAGTTTTACATATAAAGGTTTTATAGTATTGTAAAATCAAATTAAATTAGGAAAACAAATACACTTATAAACTAAACACAATATACATAGTTAGGATATAAGATATGGCACATTTATAGTACAATTCTATCAGTCTTTCAATTATATCGAAAAGTATTTACATTTCTATCAAATAGATACTACGTCTCCGTAAAATATATTTGCAATGTAAATGAATTAATAAACTTATAATAGATTGATAATTTCGATGTGATAACAGTTTTTAAATGATATTTTGGAGTCGTAATGAAACGATATGACAAGTTTATGACTGACACAGCACCTGTCCTATTGTTTATCACTGCATTCGTATCTCTTTTAGCACAAACGTCTTATTGGCACTAGGATAGGACCTGGATACAGCGAACCGTATGTCAGCTGGCAATCAGAAAGCCTCCAATGATGACTAGAGAAGCGCTTCGACTGATGGTGGACCGGGAAGATTGCGTCGACTCGTAATCTAAACGCAAGGAACAGAGTAAATATACGGATAATTCCATCAATTAAAATAAGGAAACGTTCATTTGCATTTATAGCTGCTAATTACATATCGAAGTTATTTCCAGTCAGCATACTTAACGAGCGCGCCATAGTGAAATATTTTACCAATTTGCATCTTTCTATCGCGCCAATTATCTCTCGTAGGCAACTTTATCGACGTAAAGCGGTGCTGCAGAAACACTAAAAGGCTTTTAAACTACTAAATAATGTAAGTATTACACTTACCGACATCTTTCCACTCTTCTACTTCGTAGTCTCCTATGACTCTGTTCTCGGCGGAGCTGTCCCGCCAACGATTTTTATGTTTACCTGACAGAAACAAGGTACATGTGATACAAATGTCCCATGAGCAAAAAACCGTTGTGGAAAATGATTGCCTCGTAAAATTTTCTTACATGCTGCTAAGGGGCTGTAAAAATGGGCTTTCAAGTATGAACAAAACATATGACGCCATAAAGAGTATAAAAGAAAACCCAAATCTATAACAATAAGAAGGTATATTGGAAGTCAAAGCGCAAACAAAATCGCTTTTCCCACAATAATATTACTAACGACCCAATTGTACGCAAGCATTGGGCTGTGCCGGCAAAACCGATAAATACAAAATTCTCCATCGACCCTTCCGTGTGGTGACCCTGAGACTGCGATGAATGTATAACTGTGGAATGCGAGACTTGCATTACGTTTTTCCGGTAGTAGGTGCCAAAATTGCTCCTTTATCAAACGGATCAAGACACTTATGTTGCCCCCATAAATTGAATCGTCTCTACAATGTTTACAATACGTATTTTGTTATTTGAAATACAATTTAGAAAGAACGATACGTAAATAGAAAGAGAACGCACCTTTCTTCCTTTGAGGAAATGTGGGGACGTTATTGTCCGTGGTACTCGTCGTCGAAGGCGCAGGTATTTCTGCAATTCAAATGAATGTTATTGTGCCGAAAATGAACAACCTGTTATTTTCTGATTAAGTAAAATATTGGTAAAGAAGTCATGTTCAATATTTCCAAAAATCGATGTATGGTTGATAGCATATTTATGTAGTCTACGAATAATCTGGTGTTACCGTCAAGTCGTATAAGCCCATCCGTCTCGCCAAGGGAGTTCTTCGCGACGCAGCGGTAAGATGAAAAATCTCTTGACGATACCCTCCGTATAGTCAATTTCATTTTCCGACTGTAACTGTCGTCGCTTAGTGACGTGATGTATTTATTTCCTGTAGACGGATAAACGAAGTCATTACTAATTCGATTAATTTGCTCGCTCCGGAATGTCTGACGTTAACTTGTCAATTACGCTGCGAATCAGTTACATCTTAGTTAATTCATATTTTGATGTTATTCCGAATGATTTCTTCTATCCATTATACGATATAACTTCTATGTATTATAGTGTTTTGAAACTAGTTAGAAAGTTAGTTAATTAATTGAGACAGTTACTAAATCATAATTAATTTAAATATTAATATTAGAGCTGATCAAATACCTGTCGTCACACAACTCGGATTCTAATTTTGTTCCCCAGATATAGTCGGGTTACGAACTTTATTCAGGTTTCAAGGGCGTCGGGGACTTAATTAAGTGGTACCAGACTGGTTAAGCGACATACGTATCCCATTGTCTTTTTCACGCTGGGATCACATGAAGATATTTACAAAATGATTTATTTGTTGAAGTATATTTTTGTTCAAATATTAACTTAAACAAAAAGTGTAAAAAGTGAAAAATTACGCTGTATTGGATTCTTACGAAAATACTTAGATTACGAAATGTTTTACAGGCGTTTGCCAATTGTAATAAATAGTACCTAATACAGTATTTATAACTTAATAGAACTAAGTCAAATTAATTTAAAGCATTGCAATAGAATGTACGAAATTTAAAAAGAAATACAATGTTACCTGATATGATCATGTCCCCGCGGTCAGTGGTCCAGTAGTTGATGGAGGAGGGATACGCCTCTGTGTGGCACTCCAGCGTCACGTCCTGGCCAATATATGCCGCCTCCAGTTGGTTGGGTATGGACAACATCGGTGGAACTGTTGAAAACATACCTGGTTACTTTTATCCTCTTCCCAAAGTTACGTAGAAACGTAAATGGTATTTGTTGTAAATAATTTGTATTTTTTGTGTGGGGTTTAGAACGTTACATGCTTTTAGAGACAAGAAAACGGTACAATAGTTTATTAGTATTTTTTTTTGTGGAGGAAAAAACATAATTGATAACGATTGATTCTCCCGCCCTGGTTGGGGCGTAAAGCCATGTGAGTCGTGTGTTAATTTTGAGGATATTGTAAGGCAAAGAGTATTACAATATTCCAGACTTCAAGACACACTATGAAATATATGAGTATCAAAAAAGGACTGGATTAAATTAACTAAAAATCGCGGGTTACTCACGTGTAAATAATGAGAAAAGCTCTACTAGTTTCGAACCACAGAGGGGTTTTTCCTCATGAGCAGCGTGCGCGGACGCGGCGACGTCGAGCAGCCTACTGGCTGCGCGACGTCGTTACACGTGAGTAACCCGCGATTTTTAGTTAATTTACTATGTCTCACGATAGTTATTATAAGGACTGGATTACTTATTCTATTATTTTAATTTTAATTTTAATTCTCTTAACTTAATGTTATGGGTAGGTATTTCCTTTAATAGGATAAAGGCCTATGCATATTGTGAGTATTAAAATAAACAAGTAACTAAACCCACTCTGCATTTTAACTACCTAACCAATGAGGAAGTAAACTATTTCAATCCTGAGACATAACTTCCCTTTCATCACAATTTAGTTAGAAACGTACTTAATAATACAAGAGCTATTGAAAATTTAAGGCCCCGACGGACTTTGAAGCAATTTTTGGAATACTAAGATGCGTTACTTGAGTAAGATTTGGTGTATAAATTATTACTAAACGACAAAAGGGATCGGTGCTCGAATAGCAAACGTGCCGCGGTGCGGGTCCTTGCTAATATTTAATTTGCATCTCGAAGCTATGTTCAAAATGTTTACGACATTTTTACAACGAAAATGACGAAAATTGTAAGCATGCGTCGACTTTATAGCTTTACTTATGTGTATAAAGATTATGACATTATTCAATAGAAATATAATGTATCATAAAAACTGGTTTACAGTTCAGTATGAGTATAGTTTTAAGTGTGTTGTAATCTCTTATTATTAGAAGAAGTATTAACTACACAAATCGTTTAAGTTTTCGTGTTAATAACTATTATTCTTAGGTGTAAAAAAGATACGATCCTGTTAAAATATTGTTGAATTCAGCCACTTTAATATCGAACTCTAAGAATAGCGGAAAACTACGTACCACGCACGAACAGGTACGTAGTTAACGCACGCACAGCTAAGAATAAAAAATGTTCCTATTCACAAAAACTTTGTCTTTATACTTGTTACATAAGTAATACACCACGTAGGTAATACATATCACATGCCTTTTGCGAAGAAATGGTGCCCCACACACGTAAGTATATACACCCGTAGTGATGTCCTTGGTGCATGTAGGTACCCATTATATTACCTGCGAAGAGCTATGAATGAATAAAGGCAAAGGCGGGCTACAGAGACACGCGTAAAGAATAACACTGTCATAAAGATTTGTCTCCGGTAATACCTAAATGTAATGAAAACTGACAGTGAATTCATAAGGAAGTCTCCTTGGTTAATCGAGTGAAAGTTACGTGAGCGTTTCGTCTCGCGTAAGAAATGGAGAGGACTGTGAACGCGCTGAGATACGGAATGTGAATTAGGGGAAAGAAAAGCGTTTCATTGGGTTCGGTGGCGAGAAGCGGCGAGGTGGCGAGGGTGAGAGGACAGATAGTATCGCCATTATCGCGTCCGTACCGTATTCACGTCAGCATAATGCTCTAATTGGGCGCAATTACGGCCGATCCGGCGGAAGGCGCCGCCGTCAGGTAGAGGCGCTCGTGTCCTCGTAAATACTCGTTAACGACACCCACCCCCAGAAAAATAATATTTCTCGACGCTGACTCCCGTCTAAAGAAAACGACTGCGATGAAAATGCTCACGTACTTACGAACGAAAGAATTTGAGGCCAAGTTAACGGGCTGGGACAAATGTGCGGGCATATTCTTCCGTCTAGATTATGATATCCGAAGTTGAATGAGTGAGTTCACAATTCAAACCGAATGGTGTGTCGTGATACTAAATAAACCATCAAATAAACTGCACACATGTTCAGCTTTTTTTGCAGCCAGTTTATAAACTGAAAACGACTATTTGCATCTAAATATTCCGTACATAGATACGTTATGAAAAAACAGATGAAATTTTTTTAGTTCAGTTCATGAATCAATAATAAATAATGCGATAAACTGTGAGTATGTAATCTAAATAAAAAATAAATGGTATATATAAATAAAAATTCGCACATTTTGCATTGTTTTCCTAATTTCTTTTTGATTGCAACAAAAATAGAAATATACAGTATGAAGCTGCGTTTAATACATTGAACAAAAAGTTACAAGCTCCTTACTTTTCCTGGAAACTTTTCTTATAGAAACAGCAAGGTAAATTGGAAGGAAAGCGGTCAGTGGAGGAAAAGTACATTGAATATTGATGATAGTGTTTTTACCCTACTCTAAGAGTACTTATATTATTACCCACAACATTAGTTTCGATTTAAACATATTGTGACGTTAACAGATGGATATTTAACAAGGTTGAAAGTTTGGACCAATTGAAATCTAATTAATATTATGAATTCCATTCGAAATCAATAATTTGGGAAACTTTAACGCAATTAGTAATATATTATTATGTATGAGTTTCCTTTGGGAATTCTGTAGGTACAGGCCTGGTTAATATAATCGTCAATTATACATATGTATGTAGGGTATTTAGAAAATGGTTGGATACGTTGAAAGCCTATGTTTACACGAGACTCATGTATGTATATGTACATACGAATAATCACTTACATTTACAGTAATTTCTTTTCACATCACACATCATAAACCAATTGCCACTGCTGAGCAAAGGCCTCTTTTAAAGTTGAGAAGGTATGATTACTAATCTCCACAGTTGCCCAAGGTAGATTAGCGATTTCAAACTTATAATTGAAAATCATTTTAAATCAGTTTTCTTCAAGTTTTCCTCTACCGTTTGTCAATTGTTTTTAAAACAACTTGGAAAGTACATTTATCTAGTTTACATTGCGTTTAAACCTCCGAGCAAACACGAAAATATTTCTTTTTTTTAATAATTTTATCTTTTCTGACGAAAATCAGCGGTGTTGTAAGTTGAGTTGCAGAGCCAGATACAAAAAATACATAATCAATGCGTGATTCGAAATATATATAGTTTGATATTTTTGTTGTATTGTAGTTAGTTATTTTTTTTTTGTGTCGATGATTATGTTGGTCGGTAAAACTGTTAGGAGTGTATGATTTGCATCATCCCTATTGTACAGATTACTTGTATTAATTCAGAAATAAATAAATAAATAAAAAATATAAGGCGAACAAAAGACCTTGAAACACAATCATACAAATTCTTACAAAAAGGGCAAAAGGTTACAATGGATTCGGATCCGTATAAAATAGTTTAGCGTCCTTTTGTATGATTATGGTTTATTAATATTTTTCCTATTCTGTATTTTCAAGATTGACTTGATTAAATTGGTCAGTATGCTGTGAACTAAAAAATAATGATTTAACATTGACATAATTACATTAACTTATTCTTTTTGCATTAAACATATAATTGAAATGTTCATTTTGCACTAAATTCACATAAACTGTATAAGACTTAGAAGAAAGCTTTAACTTTATTAAGAATAGCATGGAGTTGTCTCAGTATAAATACTAGCAATAAGCTAAATTGCTATCAATATACGAAAATACTGTCACGATAACTGAATGTAAACAGAAATCAAATGTAATGAACCACATTGGAACGGTTGATCCAACATACGAGCACAATGATTTGGGAATACGATGGTAACCGTTAATTGTCACGTAGAGCAAGCTACGGGCCTATTGTGGTGACATCGAAATTGGCAAAAATACCTCATAAATCACAACCAATGATTGGCTTCAAAGTATTCCAGAACAGAATGTCAATCGATTCTCAGGACTCATCAGCAGCAGTAAACATTTAAATGATTGGTAATTTCAAGTTATCGACGCTTTATCGTAAAAGAAAATCAAGTACAAATATGTATAGCTAAACACGTTCACTTTATTGCGGAACGCAAACATGACAGTACAGGAATACTAACATATTTGTTAAAGCTGAAACATGGCACGTCGTTGACTAAACTAGTTCACAGAATCCAGGCAAGTGAGTAAGCAGCTTATAATATTCTCGGTAAGTGTTGTTTATAGGAACTTCATAGATCGTGAACTAAGAATAAAGTTTGCTGAAGTTGTCTTACAGCATTGAAGACAGCCCATACCGTGCAGTCGCCCGGGCCGACACCGGACTGGCTTGAATTAATGTATTTCTTACTGGACAAATCCCAGTCGGAATTATTTAAATTAAATAAGCAGCTGCCGAGGATATTAATTTTGTTAGTCCTCAAAGTTTATATTTTTCTTAATCTTTTAAGTCTTTACATCTCTTAAGTTTAAAACGCTTTTAGTAGCATAATTTATAATTAATTAGATAGCTAACCGAGTAATTGTATAAATTTAAACTAAGTTCTAGTAGAAAAGGTGGTGTAAAATAATGTCGTTTAAGGTGGTACACGTTATTGTTGAATTTTATAGAAAAATGTTTGCCTACATACGTACATATATTGCACAAACTCTGCATAAAGCAGCGGAGGTCTTTATTAGACTTTCTTGTGTATTTTATTGCTATATTCAAACTCGACATAATAAAAGTTTTGTGTAAAGAGAGGAAACTGCGGGAGAGAAGTAAGTAAAGAAAATTCTGTGAACATAAATTTTAAGTACAGGTGGGTTCTGTATATTTCCATGTTGATGTGTTAATGAAAGCCGGTGTTCGTTTCGCTCAAGGTTTTACAGTCAACCAAGGAATGAAGCAGGGTCCTTCTATGACGTATTCGTACATATCTGTGGGCTTGCAAACTTTGTCTGCGAGTGTGGAATATATTGGCAGTTCGCAGAAATTATTACTTTACGATGAAGTATTGAAAGTGTAACAAGTTTACATGTTGTCTTGAAATCGATTAGATAGCATGTTAAAATTTAGGTTGTTACCACAATTTTAAACAAACATAAATTATTTTTGAAGGATAACGGAGTTATATGAAACAATGAAATAAAGTCAGACTGGTAGAGAATGCTCAAATCATTAGGTCCACCTTGTGTACATTTTTTATGCATGAAGCTTATTATAACAAATAATAAATAAATAAATAAATAAATAAAGTCGTTATATTACATTGACATTAGGTTAAAAAATTGTGTTTTAGATCTTAACAATAACTGGATGAAAACCAAAATACAAAATACTGTTTCATTTTATAATAATTTCATGATTTATACACACTGTACAGTACAGCAGTTAATTATAATGTAGCGATACATCGTTAACTTACGTAGAACAGCGAAGATTGGTTCATGTACGAGGTAATAATATAACTTACATTGCACCATAAGCACGACACGCTTGCTGATCGATGGAGGGACTCCGTTCGAGGCGATACACAAGTAGGCGCCCATGTGAAGCCGAGACACTTTCGATATCGTTAAATTTTCACCATCTACCACGTTCACTGCAATCAAAAACATTCGTTTATCGAACAACTTCGTGTGAGCTAATCTACATACTGAATTACAAATTTTAGGCAACTTTGAATACTGGATATGTTGTTATAAAGTCGTCAACAGCTTCTAGACATACACGTTTCGATGTCAATGATAGTTCGTATGAGTGATCTTAATATACGGGGTTACCATTAGCTTTTAAATCGTCATGATGCGTCATAAAGCATTGTGAAATTTTACTATTGATTTCGTAAACATGGAGTCACTTCAGACCGTTTGGCTCTTGCAGTAGAGAGAACTCAAAGTGATATTTTCTATTCATTTTTCTTCTAATAAGTTCATAAATCTTACTGAATAAACGCCATCAGTACTTTGAGCATTTTTGTACTAAGAACCTGTCTGCTAATATTGACCTAATTTAAATACTAAGGCTTCATCGTGCGTTCGTTGTACATTGCTGCAGCGGGCCGTGTCATAGCCCGCACAAACACAAACAAATGAACAATGTACGATGGACCCACGGGATGGACCGCATGATAAGTCGCAGAACGCTTCACATCTCTTTAAATGCGACCTTATAATATTAATAATATATTCCTATTAAAATTACCACGTACAATAATTTTGATATAAAAATGGAATGTGATAAAATATAGAATTGTTAAACGTAAGTGAATTATGGCGGGCTTTCGTAATTATTCACGTTCGATAGTCCATTGTTAATTCAATTGCGAAAATATTCCTGTTATGCTGGTTACGGCTACAATTTCATAGTACTATGTGGAACAATTTATTTCATTTGGTACCCTTTTGGGTACCTGTATTTGAGGATTGAACGTTGGTAGGAAATATTTGCTGTGAGTTTAGCCTTTCCTCTTCTAATTCAAAATCATTACTATTGCATTCGTTGAACACAAAATGTTGAAATATTGTGTATTTAAGTTTCATTTGGTATTAATAAATTCATGTAAGAAAGAGTTTAAAGCTAATGTAAAAAAAAATAACGTACATTATCAAATTTTGATCAAGGTAAATAGGGAAAAATCTTTGGTATAATTTCGTGTTGAAATTTGAACAGAATTTTGTTTTCATTCGTGTAACGTTAGCATGGACGATGTACGGGATCCCAGTGGGTACATTCCACTCCATTTTTCGCTTCAGGGATTTCTTTCATTCATCTGCTTTGTTTCGCCGGGAGAGCGTCAGTGTAATGAGCGTCCGGAACTAATGTTTTGACCGGATATTTATAGGAGCACCAAAATCTTTTGTTAACTGTGTTAGCTGTTCTTTTTGTTTCCATTTAAGAGAACAAAATAGACTTTTAACTTTGTACGAAGCGTTTGGGTGTAGACAATTCGAATTAGCGACAAGATTAATTTTGTGATATTTCAATGGGATTTAGGATTTTTATTCTTTTGATGATTTTGCGCTGTTATCGTCTATATTATTTATTTAACAAGTATTACAAATGTAGAGCCTTCTATAAAAATTGGGATGGTCATGTGGCATTTGGCCGCTTCATTACATCTATTTCTTACCCGATTCACCATTACAGTTGAACTCCTGTCCATCCTCTCGCCTCCACATGACGTACGGTTCAGGATAGCCAGTGGCACGGCAGACCATGGTCACGTTGGTACCTTCGCGAACCACCATGTCGGTCGACGTCATGTTATCTATTATGACTGGTGGAACTGGGGGCAAAAGGAACAGAATTAATAATAAAAAAAATGAATGTGGTTGCCAGGTTTGAATCTTCCCAGGTTGGGATGGAGCCGCTTGACCGCAGGCCGTTCCAAGTTGGTAGCCCAACGTCTGCAAAGCTTTGTAATGTTCTAACGGCTGCCGAGTACGAGACTGTCTGTCGCTCATCTCACGGAATAAGGTTGATGATTTCATGGGTTAACGTCATCAAATGATTTCTCCCGCCCAGGATGGGGCGAATAGCAGTGTCAAACACTTGTTCTTTGTCACCGCGATTTATTATTGATTAACCTAACCAAATAAATCGGGAGCCCTAACTTAAGACTTCAACGGCAGACAGCCGTATGTTACTTGTGTGAAATAATAATTTTCATGTGAAATAAGGCAATACAAAGTCTCCTTTGATGATTTCATAACCACAAAAGTGTAACAAATCTATTTTAATAATTTGGTAAGAGAAACAAACATCTAATAAAGTTGAACTCATCACGAATTTATGAAAAACACGCATTTCTTTTTATAAAAAACATACGTATCATTTAATGAAATTTTTAATATATGACTTAGCTATGACATAATTATGCCTGTTCAACATAAAAGGTTATTTCAATTATCAACCAAATTTCCATTACATAAACATAAACACAAAGCTGCAACGTACAAAATATTTCAAGTTATAATTGATTTCGTGAATATATTTTTTATTAAGGGTAAGGTCAACCGTTACCTGCTCTGTTCCCGGGTCCGAACCGCAACCACAGCAATGCTATATAAATTCGTAACCTTATTACACCTAAACTAGGGACGGTGTACGCAGGTATTTAGTTCGGGTATTTTAATGTCAAAATATCAACTTGCTCTTAGCTCAGGTTTGATAGTATGTAAAGCTTTTAGTGGAATAAAAATTCCCCACTGGAATGCCGCGTATGTTACGCGGTTTTGTCAATAAAACTAGTCAGGGAAACCTGCACAGTGGGATCACCATTCAGTAATTGAGCTAGGAAAAAGTTGCAAGAGCTCGCAAATTCCACAAAAATGTACATTGACGTCGTTTCACCGTTTAGGTAAAATAATAAAGGCCCCCACAAAATATTAGTTATTATACTCACTTTCCATACACATGCAGGTATTCTAACCTGGATAACGCATGGGATCGGTGTTGACCCGGTACATGTAACAGTTGTGATCCACCTCCTGCAAGTTCTTGACGTGCAAGGACTACGAGCGCTGATCATTGCACGACAATTTGACGCAGATAGCAAACTCACCAACCACCTAAAGGTATCTCTTCCTATGGACCGCATAGGATTGGTGATGACCTGGTATAAGTACTACCCGCGGTTCATGTCTTGCATACTCGTGATATGCAGGTCTTTATACAAAAGACTGAAGGAGGTTGTATACTTACCAACCACCTGAAGGTAGCCCTTCCTGGAGCGCATGGGATCGGTGTTGACCTGGCACATGTACCAGCCGCGGTCCACCTCCTGCACGTTCTTGATGTGCAGGTACCACGAGCGGTGGTCGTTGTACGACAGACTGATGCGCGCGTTCTGCGTTATTATGTTGTGGTGGATGCTCAAGATTGTCTGAGTGTCTACGCGGACCCACGCCACCTGTGTATATATCATGTATGTTTACTAAATACATAAAACTATTTAAATCAAATTCAATGGATTCACATTCACGCTTTAACAATGCTTTAGCTTTAACAATGCTAAGTAGCGATATACTATTCAAACTTTAGGCACTTAAAGTCAATATTGAAATAAAAATGTCACGGCTAACATAGAAATAAATTTCTTAGGTGCACAAGCAATGAATTTCTTCATACGGCTGGCTGCATTATAAGGACATGTACGGATGAATGAGCAGCAAATGTAAAAGTGCGGCAAACCAGAGAAGTAAGTATTTCCTTTGAAGCATTTCAAAGAATTTATGGATGTGCATAAAGTTTTAAGTATACGCAGAAACTTGTATTTTTACGAGAGTGACAAACACATTTAGGTTTCCATGAGATAGTGATCCGTTATACAAAGTTACGAGTTTATATCGAGCTGACTCACGTCCACATGCAAAACTAAGTTTTACCACAAAAATTACGTTACACTTATCAATCTTATCTTGGAAACCGTAAAACAAAAGCTTTTCTCAACAATATTGAATAGAGCGACCTACTTGTAAAATGTATTACTTCTTTTTAATCTAGTTGATGTCTTGTAGTTATTTATAAATATGTGTAATGTTTCTTAAACTGTATACCACGTACAATATTAAGAACAATTTGATTATTTTTGTTTCATATGATCCCCAACTATTTTATTCTTTTGACTTTATAATTTAATTTTCGTCACGGAATAACCTAAATGGCGACTAATTCAGCCTCACCTCCCAAATATATCTGCGCTATACAGCACTCCAATTTCGCTAACTAGCCGTCCTGCATGATTAATAACTGGCGAATCGTGCATTCTGAGCAAAGTGATATTAAGTTGGCTTGTTAAAACTTTACCCCGTGCACCGCACGAATGGAGTTGTATGAAGTTCTGGCGCAACGTATCCGTTCATAGAATTACACGGCGCTCGTTCATCATGGGCCATGACGTCATCGGTGAAGACTTCGTGCTACTGTTTGTTTGCTTTCATAATTGCTTGCCAATATCGACTTGAGGTATGCTCGTGTAAATAGACTGGGAAACTAATATCGTCTGCGGTACTGCATGATGGTTAACAAAGGAAAGTACGTAAACTTCCTTAGTTGGAGTACTCGAGCAGAAAATTCCTGTTACCATTCATTCCGGTTGTGATTCAAATTTTCGTAAAAGGACAGGGCGAAGCATGAAGCTCCTTGTTGAGCTTTGCTGACATCATGTGTGTTCAAGACATGCGTTGCAGAGATATCCAAGCTGTATTTATTTACTTTACAGTGAAGAAACTTGTATAAACTCGGTATGATAGAAATCTTTACAGGAATTTCTGCTATTCTAATGTCGGGATCAACCCTTTAGGAGCTAATAATTTAGGGTTGTACAGAATCACCGCAACGGGTTTGATGGATTAATGATTTGCGGCGTGGCATATCAGTTAACAAGCGAAGACTGACAAGGTTCAGTCTAAATATACTTGTATATTTATCGCATAAAATATATAAGTTAGTTCAATATAAGTAAATATGTTATTAGGTATATAGGTATCTTGGCAACAACGTGAATAACAAGGAAGGGAGAATTGATGTGTGCTAGAGCGAGGTAGCTTGACAGGATCAATTTGAGTAACGATATTGGCCAGTATTGGCCCAGCTTTCGGTTTGAAATGATTTATTTTCCTCTTGACTACTATATTTTTTATATCTCTAGTATATGAACGTACTCAATTTATACGTTTCTAATGAAGATAATCATGTACTTATGAAGTAGGTATTGTATTTTTGTCATTTGTTGTTGTTGTTGTCTTTGTCTTTTGACGAAGACCTTGACAGTGATAATAACTTTAAAAGAGCAATCGAGCGAATTTTGTTAAATAGACGTATTTTTCTAGACTCGAGTATCGAATCAAAGATGCTTACAAACATTTGACTATAAAAACATTGCAATAATGGTTGCTTAAAAACACTATTTCTTATCACAACACTCACTCATTGTGACGCACCAAAAGAATGAAGCAGCCACCAATCTACTGTTTACACGTAAAAATTGCAAAGAAAATTAATTTCGAAATAAACCCTTGAAAATGGTAACTAAAATAGCGACCTCTATTCATGAAGCCTTTGTTTAATTAACTTGATAAAGTTACAAAATGAGAGTTTTCTTTGTTATTTTTAAACTAAAAAGGGGAAAATTTTAGTACCTTGTAACCTCGTAAGTCTTCGACGACGCAGGCGAGAAGCGCGTCCCGTCCCACCGTTACCGTCACGTTCGTGACCGGCTCCACGAAACGAGGAAACAATGATTCTGAAACAAACACAACAGATAAACAGATCTGTTCGCAATGTTTTGTCCTAGTTGCTTTTGTTTATATTTTATTTTATAATCGTTTCTATCATTATGAATTATGTTAAATGTTAATATCCGAGAAGTTCTTTTTCTTTCTTCTATAAAATAAACGTTGCCCTACTTTAGATTTTTCTCGGGTGCGTTTACAACTACAATATAATAATACAATTTTACATCACCCCCACAACCGGAACATAATAAGAAAAAAAATTTGGTAAGAAATGAAAATTTGATCTCCAGCTAAAGAAAATAATTATTAGTAATTTACTAAAATTAATAAGTAGAAAATAAAATGTACGTATTATTATTAGTTTATAAAAATAATAATCTATTTTTATGGATTGTTATTACTGTAACAGACGTTCAATGATCTCATGGTCACTAGAAGTAAGGATTACTAAGTATATTTTTAAAAAGAATAATAGCATTAATTAATTAAATAATAGTGTAGTAGCCATATTATTTTATCATATGCGACTATCTAATCCTGAACTTCAACACGAGACACTGTGTGTTGAAACTAAATTTCCCCAATATTTAATGGATGTTGTTCTTCCTTTTCAATCACTTTATCTATTAAAACCACATCAAAGTCCGTTGCATAGTTTCAAAGATTTAAGCATACATAGATAAAGATACGGAACAGAGAAAGCGACTTTGTTTTATACTACCTATTCAACGTACTTACTTATTGAACAAAATAGCATACCTATTATAAGAAGTACTTATATTTACTACAAGTCAAGACGAAAGCCAAGTAAAAAATGGCAGCTAAGTACCAGTGTTAAATGTAACTAATTGGTAGTTATTAATTTGTAGTGAGCACGAATGTGCCGGTGACTTTTGACTGCGCGGTTACGCTCGCAGGTAGTCACATTGAGACCACTTGTACACTTAAATTAATCAATCACGACAGAGAATAATGTTGGGTCGGTCATGAATATATACAATGGGCTTAGGTACATGTAAGTACAAGGCCTACGAGGTACAAGAGCAATCCATCAAAGTACACACTTTACGAACTCAGTAATATTTGACACGGACCCTTTGATTCGTCACTATTTGCTAAGGTCGGCTTTTCACTAATATTGATTTGAGCCGATTTAAAAGGTTAGATTTTTAGGACAAAAATACTACGTTTTTTTTGGTCTAAGAGTTCGCAGTGTTACTTAAAATGTTTTTTTTAAACATAGAATTTAATATTCTGGGAATAGTATTTAATGTGCACCTCTCGAACTATGTCGTAATACCTGGATGCCTCAAGGTACGTATACACATAATCCTGGCACATACACTAAATAATCAATGTTGTAGTAGTTCGTAGAACTTGTAGGTAATTTGAAGCTTTATTTACATGGTCGCTATAGCGTAGGTGCCGTGTGCGCGTCGGCTTGTAAACCACAAGTAGCCTATTTGGTTATCTGCGAAGTGTGTACCAAATGGCGGTTAGAGCTGGTCGCATTGTGGCCTGTGGTTACACCCTTATAATATGACCAGCCATTGCTTCTGAATTACATCGCTCCCTGATTATATTAGGCAGGATACTAATTTATTGTCAACACAAACTTTAATTTCCGACCTCAAACTTATAATTGAAATAGAGTATTAAAGGAAAGTAAGTAACTTTTAACTTTGGATTATTATTATCATAACGGAAAAACAACTTTCTAGTTGACTTTGTGCTGATAAAACGAATCTCAGCAAAAGATTTTGTTTTTACAGTTTCGCAATCGGCTCCTGAAATATGAATAAAACATGTCGATAAAGTTGAATAATGTCCGCCACTTTGGAAGTGAGAAGACTTACGTATGTAGCCGTCAATACTAAAGCGATCGATATGAGCGATGCTTCAATGCTGCAACAATCTATTTAGGCTAAACAACCTGAGACACGGAAAAATATCCGCGAATGATTGATGAGTGAGTACGCGAATAGAACAAATCCATCCAGCGGCCATCAATCTTGGCGGTGGAGCGGTTCAGGCCGCTGTGCAAGCGACGCGCGACGTCGCCGTCTCTAATGAAAGAAGAGCTTACCGAGCACGTATAAACAATCGGAAAATGTTGTTTCTAATATCCCGCAAGATAGATGGCCCGTGAAATGTGCTCTTAGCTGGGATCAAGCCTTTTTTAATAGAAAAATGATTGTGCCAAGTCTTTTGTTCAACATGGAAACACATTCAAAGCTACGTAAAAGTGTGCGATGTCGGCCGGTCAACTCTCTAACGTCACATTGTCGAAAAATGTGTTACAATATGGGGGAAGCGACAAAACGCTTGCTGTGTCGTTGTATTCTACAATACGTGACCTTTGAGAATGGTTTGTAATGGTTGTAGGATTCTTTTCAATTTTCAATTGATGCTGCTATGAATAATGAATAAAAAATGTACTTGCCTTGATTTTTATAAACGCAATGTTTTCTATACGAATATTATAAAGAGGTAAAATTTGTAATTTGAAAGTTGTATGTAATGGGTAATGTTTGGAACCGCTTGTCGGATTTCAATTTTTTTTTCATTGATGCTCACTGTTGCAGTTTTCCCGAGCGCTACAGGCTGTAAAACATCACACAACGATCTGTAGGACCCGAGCAGCGGATGAAACCGCGTTTGAGTAGCTAATATG